GCCTTTTTAGATTTGTCCGTTTGATTTGCCAAATAATTTATTTCTGCCTTTCCATCTACTTCTCTTAATCTTGTGTCTAACCTTCTTTGGCTGCATCCCCAGAATATGCTGTGCATCCAAAGAGGGCCCTAAACTGGAGTAAATTTTCAGTGCTTGAAGTGGCAGAGGAGAAAACAGTTGGGTCAAACAGTGACACCAGCAGGGTGGCTGGGATGTGGCGAATGATATGGGACAGGGAGGAGTTAAGGGTGAACCCAGGTCTGGGTTCAGTTAAATGGTTGCTATGGACTAAACTGTACCCCCAGGTACATGTCAATATACTAAACCCCAGTATGACTGCATCTAGGGATAAAGCTCTAAAGAAATTTAAATGAAATCACAGGTGGGGCCTTAATTCAATATGGTCATTGTCCTTATAAGAGAAACATGAGGGACATGTGTGCACAGAGAGGCAAACCTGGAGATGGCAAGTAGAAAGGCCCTGTTTCTGACCACTGGCTGCTGACCATTCATGCTGGCAGGAGCCAGAGAGAGATCTGGGTGTTAGCAGTGAAGCGGGACTGTGAGCCTGCATCATCTAACCAGTGGGGTAAGTACAGAGGCAAAATAAGGTCACAGTGGAGCCCTAAAGGCCTGCAACTGAACTCTCTAAATGAAGAGATGCTCCTGAAAAAATGTTAGAATGGGCAAAGAAACACAGACTAGGGCCATGGAACTAAGAGCAGAGCACTTCAAGTGGGCTCAGGCCAGCTTTGTGGCACTGCAGTGATGTGCTGCTCAAGGGAAGCTGGACCCACATGCCAACTGCGGTCGTGTGCCTGTCTGTCGGCCTGAAATGCACTGGCCATGCACCTGAGTGCCCAGGATCGGTGAGCTGGAGCACTGGACAAAGGGCTCACAGTGTAACCGCACCCAGGGAGGACGTTTCTCTCTCATGCACATGCACGTGCTCTCCCGTGAATAAAGAAAAGGAAAGAAGTGGGCTCAGCAGTGCCCATTACAACGTAAGAGCAAAGAAGTCCAACCGAGCTGGAGGTCAATGGTTTCCTTCACGAGAAAAGGATCAGTGGCTGACCGGCAGTGGACACCAAGTGCCAGTGAGCTCAGGTGTGGATGGAAGAAAGTAGGTAGGGAGGCTGGGCAACTCTCAGGAAGCTTGGTCATTAAAGAGGAGGTGGCTGGGAAAGCGACATCAGATTGAGAGGGTCTCCCTAAGGCAGAAAACCTCACCACATACTACAGCCATCAGAGAGGCTGCCAATACAAAAAACTTGGGAGAAAAAAGGTGGGGTGGATGGACAAACAGAAGACGAGGCACAGGTGGAAGAACTACGCTTTCACAGGACAGGGATGCCCTTTCCACTGTGGTAAGCACAAGGGCGGGAAGGTGGGCTTGGGCAAGTCTGAAGGCAGAAGGAACTGAGGGGTCTCCCCCTGGAATGTTCTCTATTTTCACTATGAAGTAGGAAAGTACACGGAGACTTCAAAAAAATTCCTGGGAAAGTGAAATTAAAGTAGAAACTTAATGTGGTACAAAATCTTTTTAAAATTCCTAAGACACATTTTCCTTGGACTTTTTGAAGACCCTGCATAGAGTCACTGAAAATGAGGATTAGAATAGGGTAAACCACTCTAAGAAAATGCTGATACTGTAACCGCTGCAGAGAATGAGTGAGGGCTGACGAGGGACTTGTGACCCATGGCTCAACAAGTAAGGCCCGAGTCAGGTTAGACAAGCCCGCAGCGGGCCATGCAGATGTGTGATTTCTGCAGCAGCTGCACGGGGAGGAAAGGAAACCAAAGGGTAATCTACAGAGTCCTGCCAGGGGAAACAACACAAGAAGGGCCTGGATGATCCTCGGAGAAGCTCGGTTGACTATTCACTTCCCCCTTGGCTTCCTTCCTTAACCAAGGACAACAGTTCTCCCCCTGCAGGAAGACCCAACACTTCCCTTTCACAATAAGCACCTGTTAACATCCACGTTACCACCCAAGTCACAGACAACTTACGAGACATAGTGTAAAAGCTTCACTTAACCACCTAATGATACAAAGATGTGAAATAAAATGTATAGTAAAAGACACGTTTCAGTCGGCACAGCTCGAGCATAACTACAAGAGATGTAATGAAGTTGGTGCTCAGGACTGGGTGCATACGCCCCCAGAAGTCACGGTTACCATCAGTGGCATCCCAGGGCACGCTACCCTCGGAAACTCAAATACCATGAGTAGCACTATGGGTCCTTCAGGACCCAGTAAAAGCCAACTGCTGGGTTTTTTGTTTGTTCGTTTTTTTAAGTGTTTGAAGTCTCAAGTAGTTGGAAAAATGACTTCTAACTAGGAGAAATGCTTCGGTTTGGTTTCAGGCACTCTGGCATCTCATGGGTGGAGGAAATAAACCTGTGACATTCTCGTGAGCAGTTCCTCTTTAGCTTGGCTTCTTTGGTCACCATGCCATTTCCTATGGCTCACATGTGTGGGGAGAAGAGAATCCTCTATCTGTGGTGACCATCTCAGATCAGGAACGCAAGAACAGTCTAGACTAGGGGTTGGACCACCTCCTAATGTCCAAGTGGAAGCCCTGCTACCTCCGCCTAATCGGACAGTAAAGCTCAGAGTTCAAGCGGGTGGCTCAAGCCAGCCACAGGCACGACCCCCAAGCTCAGTCTCACACCTGTTTCCTTCCCTAGAAGACTGTCAAAGACGTGTCTTCTGAAAGCTGAATCTGTGTGTAAAGCAGCTCTGCACAGGCAGACCTGAGCCCAGCGGTCATAGCGTGCCAGACGAGAGACTCTGGCACATGGGGCCAGGCTGCCTCCCGGAGTCCCAGTGGAATGATGGTCATTCCAGCTGGGCCATTGTTCTATGTCTGGAGCTGCTTATCCCATATGCTCTGATAGAGGAGGGCTGGGTTTGGTAAGGGGCTGGGCCTCAGGTATGGCAAAGCGAGCCCTCAGGGGAACAAGCAGGCGATGGGTCCCAGGGTCTGTGTGGAGAACAAACCCCCAATCGGCACAGGACGCACAGCAGGCGGGCTAGGAGTCCTCGTTTTGCCACTCAGCAGCGGGGCGCTGTGAGCCTTTGAGATTCTGGTTTCTCGTATGTGAGGGGTACTTACCCCTACCAGCCTCAGGCGATTGTTGTGGGTGGAAAGGCCTGAGTGACTTGCTGTCTGTGAAGACACGTTAAAAAGCACTTTACAGACATATGGCTGGGACTGCCCCCGC